GAGAGAGAGAGAGAGTTAGTTAGAATTAAAACATGATCTATACCAGAATGTAGGCACGCACGCGAATTTTATGCACGGACACAAGGCGGAGGCCAGCCGGGCTATTCGATATTCGTCACGAATTCGAATGTTGCTCGTCTCGATGCGTGCAACAGTGAGCAAGCGAATTCTCGGGCTCTCGCGCCGTCGGGCACGAATAAATCAACGCGCGAGAGCACGCAAAATTCTCGGATTTTCGGTGTGCGATTCACGTGATCAACGCTTACGAAAGCTTGGTGTCAAACGGATGTCCAAAGCAGAATTCGCATCCTGGAGACGAAAATCGCCGAAAAAAACTCGAGCGCAATTCGGAAATTCGACATTGCGAGATCAACGCGAGATCGCGACTCGGTCGGAGGTCAGCGGGGAGAAGTCGAAGAGGGGAAACGATCGAATCTCGCGGAGAGATCGTTCGACCATTTGATTTGATCGCTAACCGTTTACCGGTTACGTCGGGTTTATGCAATTAGCGCGATAGATATGTGACCGCGCGAGTAAAACGCGTGCCCCGCGCGCGCGCGCGCGCGCGCGAGAGAGCGCCCGTGGGCGTGAAATGCCGAGCGAGTGCAATTAGAGGTGTGAATCGATAGAGGCGGGGCCGGGGCCACGTCGTTTTTTCAATCAACCTTTCAGACGCGGGGGACGCAGGTGTGCGACTCGCGAGATCGTCAATGTCGAAGTCGTAACACCGGGAGAAGGCTCGCGCGCGCGGGACTCCCGCGCACGTGACTTGAATTTTTGTTTCGGGATAGAAGAAACGTAATTGCCGTCTGTATGCACCTCCGAGCTAGCCGACGACTCGCGCGTGTGTAAGCGCGATTAAAATTGCGCGCTGTCAATTGCTGCGAATCAACTGGAGCCGATGCGACAGATCGCGTGCGGAGAAATCCATACCGCATGCGGCACCCGCGCGCGCGGGGTAGCACATTTTCCTCCGGTAAAGTGCGAAATTGGAAATGGTGTCCGAAATCCCCCCTCCCCCTCCTCACCAGGCCGCCGTTTCCGGGGGTTGTTAAAGAGCGGGGGAAAGTTCATTAGATCCGACCTCCCCCTCATGACGGATTTCCGGACGAAGCGCGGCTAATGAAATCAGGGCGTAATTAACGTTCTGCATACTCCAAGGCCGGTCATCCTAAAACATCATCTCGCTGCTCTCCTCTCGACTTTGGTTTTCAGAGAGCTCTGCCGTGAAATCTCGCTCGCACCGGACTGACCCCCGGTTCATTAATGTCATCAAATTATATCAATTCCCTTATCGCTATATACTTCTCGTCGCAGCTGCGAATTGGCGTCGCGGGCTAATGATGTTATCAGCGGGATAACGATAATTCCGAGCGATCGATGCACCATCGGTGCGTGGTGTACAAACGCAATTGGCGAACGCGGGGAACGGTTAGAATAAATGAATGAGGGATCAGGAGGGAGAGGGGGAGGGGGAGGCAGCGCGGAGCGACGGGGGCGACATGGCCCTGAAGACTGGCGCCGCGTTCGCGGTTTCGCTATGCACAAATATTCGATTCCGTCATTCGCGCCGCGGCGTGTGCAGCGTTAATTAAATGCATCGCTGGAGGCGCACGTTGGCGGCACGAGCGTTGAGCCTTGCCTGCGTTGTCTCTGCCGATTATCGTCGTCTGGGGTATTCGCGCCGCGTTTAACCATCACACTGCCAAATGCACACGTCGCATCTCCAGCTGGCGGGGACCGGTGTGACCTCAGAAAATTCCCCCGATACTCCAACGCAACTCCGTGTTTACCAATGTAGATTAACCTTTAATCTTGACTTTAAATTACTCTTTATCTTCTTCTGACTTTTAAAAATGAAAAAGGACGTTCACGTTAATCTTGGTAGAAGTAGACGTAAAAGATTTACCGACACGAGAATGAAGAATAATCACACACATTGAGAAAGAGAATTGCACTTGGAAATTTATTTTTGGAAATAAGATTTATTTTTAAATACGAAATACAAAATTTTATTATTCATATATGGTGAATGAATCAGTTTAGAAAGAAAAATGAAATATTTCATAGAAATATATATTTCATCACATTCAAATTCTTTTATAACTAATAAATAATAGAAGAAAATATGCTAACAAGCTAATATTTGCTTTTAAATATTTAATACTTCTTTTTCTCAGTGTAATTTAAAAAAAAAACAACATTCAGAACATCTACGAACATGACATGGTCATGCCATTTTAAATCTATAAAAGAATATAAAAAAATACAAGAAAAGTCAAAAGTCTTTTTTAACTTAACTTTAATTTCCTTTTTCCGAAAATTATATTTCGTTGCTAGAAATAAATATATTTCATTTCGTCTTGCGTACGAACATTGAGTTGCAAAGGCGCGATTGCAAAAGTCAGATCGAAATAAAATTCAATCCCAATTGAGATTTTGTAGACCGCCGTTTTCCCGTAACGCCACGCCGCGGATATTAGATTTTGCCAAGTGGAGAACGCGTTGCGGCGCGAGGCGAGACCGTGTTGAAACTCGTACGCTCGGTTAAGGATCATTAAATGCCAGCAAGTGAGGCGACTCCCACGCGACCGCGACGCGGAGGGATTTCAATGGAAGAAAGCCGTAAGGTCTCCAAGCAGGCCTCCAAGCCTCGTGCAATGATCCAGGTTATCATAACGAGGTGCGAGCGACCAGGCGCCAGGACGGGCGTCCTTGCCGTCAACTTTGTAATTTGTGCGATTTGCCGCACGGCCGGTTACGATGGTAGCGAGTGTGTTTCTGACGCAACTCCTCCCGCCTTGGAAGACAACTGAATTTTTCAGCGTGTTTTCTGTGTTCTACCCATTAGAGGCACGATGAAGGATTAATGGGCCGTGCCGCGCACGGCGGCTCCTGCCTCGCCATAAAATTTGCAAACGGCGACGGGGCGGCAATCCACGCGACGTGACTTACCTGAAGTAAACCTGCTGATACGATTGTCCGAGTCGGCCGATATGCAATTGGAAGGTAAACCCGTCGCTGAACACGTCCTATGAGCGACCAGCCCGCAATCTGCGCAACGCAGAAAATTCGCGAGATTAACAACATGAAAAATGCGCATAGCTTCCATTTTTTTCAATTCACTTCTGTTCTGGTTTCAGAATTTTTTATTCGCGGCATGATTGTCATGCAAGAGTAAACACGAATGTTAGAAATGTTTGTCAATGATGAATTTCACAGTCTGAATAAAGTCTCTAGCAGCTATGTAAATCTATTAAGTTGGAATTCCCACCATCGCAAATCGAGTTCGCATAAGAAAATTTAGTGTTGTTTATATGCTAATTTGTAATTCTAATCTGAATTTTATTGTTGATTTAGTAAAAAATCGCGTTTCAAAATTGGAGGACCAGTTTGCCATTAAGCTGAATCCCCCATAATAAATAAAATATATAACCGTATTGTATAAAAAAATACACCAGAATTTGTTGCTAATTTATTACTCCACCACAGCGCAAAAACATATCAGAAATTCAATAATTTTACGAAATAACATTATTTACAAAGCACTGCACAATCAAATCTACAAGTAGGATTACAAAAGAATCGAAAATAGAGAAACTAATTAGCAAAAAATAGCACAAAAGTATATATTCATTTTTTTAATTTCCTGCTTTTTTCCTTTATGGCTAGTGCTAACTTTAATCTTAGTCATTATTAAGCATAGTCATTATTTTTACCGAATAGGCTGGAGCAAAAAAATCAGAAATAGAGCAACTAATTAGCAAAAAAAATAGCACTACAAAAGTATGTATTTATTTTTTTTCTTTATGGCTATGCAAATTTTAATCTTTTGCGTACGTCGCGCTGTTCCTAAAATTCAACTGATTCAAAAAGGTGGTTTAGACTTTAACAAGGGTCAATTTAGCGATAAAGGACGGAAACGAACGTACCTTGGCAGAGGAAGCCTTGATGTAGGAGACCCCTGAGGTATTTATGGCATTTACCGCACTTCTCCAACACGCTGAAGCTGTGCAGCTTGAGATTGTGCGCGTTATTGGCCAGGTTGTTGCCCGGATAGTTGACTCCAAGGGAACAGGTCGACTCCACGGCGACGCCGGACGTCGGCGTCGTCGTGCTGAGTGTCGAGCCCATCGTCTCCATCGCCACCGGGACTTTGCAGAGTTCTTCGATGCACACCAAAATGTTCCTCTGATGGAATTCATCTTTTATACCCATATTCTGTAACAGGAAAACACGTTTTGCATGCGCTCGAAAGACAAGAAAAAAAAAAACATACAAATGTAAAAACATAGTT